CAACCCTAATTATATTTAAAAACATTTTAGAAGGCCTCACGAAATACTTTAATGTACATTTAAATTGAAATGTGAAGGGATGTGTGCAATGTGGTGATTACATTATTCACCCACGGATCTATGGGTTGGGGTATTGTTCCGCACGGACATTTTAGTTAACCGGACTTCCTGTTGATGTGAAATACGAAAACATTTTTTTTAAATAAAATGATACTTTATTCCGAGTGTGCTTGCTTTTCTCTTTGAAAGTCATCACATAACGTCATTATAATACACGGTTCGGCGGCATTAAATATTACATATCTGCCGTAGTTCGCTATTTATTGGCTAGTTGCACAAGATGGCGTCTATCAACTTCCGGCGGCTGGGTGTGCGGTTGTAAACTTCCGGTCTATAGTAGAGCGGTAGAGGGAAGAGCGATAGATAGCGAGAAAGAGATAGCGTATAGATATTATATAGGCACTATTTTACACTCGATGTCTCCAAGACCTACTGAAGGTTAACATCAGTGATGTACATCGGCTGGTACAAGCGGCAGGCTCAGCCCCGAGGAGCAAAAGAGAAAAGGGGTTCAAGATGTAGCTACATATCCAGCTACGTCGACAATTATGAAGGTACGTTTTGATTGATTGATTGAAAAGTGGGGGGGGGGGAAGCTGTCCATTGAACGACAGGTTGAGATTTGTACCATTACCGGGGCCAGTTTTGCAATGCTCTCCCCCGAAGGTGCTCTTTAAGAGAGGTTTTGAAGGTAAGTATAGTTTTACTTTCCTTTACAGTTGTGGGAAGAGCGTTCCACCTTGTGACAAACAAAGCTGTAGTTACTGGATAACTTTGACAAATTGACAGTCTAGATACAGTGTAAAGCGTTTTAATGATGTACTATTACGTTTTTTTGGATAACATGAATGATATCCAATTCCCCACAGTTTCAAACAAAGAACTACCTTCAGGGAGAGTGAGCATCAGGGCTAGCTGTTACAGGTCCATGAGAAAGCATGAAAAGCCTCACGATCTCAGAGTAGGGAGGAACATAAAGTGTTAATCGGTTCAAAGCCTCATTCAGGTTCATGTTCTGGGGTTTTGATGTGGCTAGAGTAGGTAACCTGTGATCTAGGATTCAAATAAGCCCAGCTAGCTGACGTGTTGCAACAGATTACATAGTGACAATACATTTGCTCACATCAACTGGTAGCTAGCTATGTGTGTGTAGCATGAAGGGGCTACAGATTTATTTTTGTTTTGTAACCCTCTCGTGTAAAATGATAAATACATTAGCTAAACCCAAACTTAGCTTTCATCAAAGATTCTTAATGAAAGGTTGAAAACCGTCTCTGCTTTCATGGAAACCCCAGAAACTGTTTGTGACGTCTGCTGTTCTTTACTGTATGGTTAGTATAATCCATGTAGGGTCCAATTATTTGTATTGGCCAGTGTTAGGTAAGTGCTGGTTTTGTACCCTACATCTATGTTAAGCTGTTCAATGTTCTACTAACACTATTTGATGTAGTTATAATATAAGGTAATACATTGAGAGAGCTGAGACACGCTATACAAGCATATCTGTTTGAATGTCCTCAAATTACAGTATTCCAAACAGCAGAACTTCTGTGTATGTGATGTGACTGACAACCTGACATGGTTTAGCCTTTTCCCACACCTACTACTTGCCTGATCAGCCTGCTCTCAGCTTTCTCATTTGTCTGTGTTGTATTGAAGCAGTGTCCTAAATGTAAAATGACTGACATTTTGTTTTAAGAACTGCTCACCTGTGGAGATTGCAGTGGCAAAGTGTTCCTGTGTAGCTGGAACAGCACTCTGCAACCACAATGTTGCACTGCTGTTCCAGACTGCACACTACTCCACACTCAACCTGGCTGCTGTACCCCCTGTCCTCAGCTGCACTGAAACAGAGCAGCGATGGCACAAGCCAAGAACCATGGTAAGTACAGTATGTGTTCACAACCAATCCACGGTATAATGAGTATTTCCTTTGTGCCAAGAGCTGATTTATTTATGTTGCATCAACGACCTTTTCAATTAATTTCACAATTCTTTTTTGTAATTAATAGGGTGTGAAACCAGGCAGAGTGAGTGACATGGTGTTCATTTCCACTAAGCCAAAGCAGTTTACAGTTGCTAAGGTAAGGTAAGGTAATATCTATTGTCCTAAGTAATTGTATGTAGCCTGCTACAACTTTGTGATTGTTGTTTGAGTGTAAAATTGTTCTTAAAGTCCTAATTATCATATAAACATGTTCAAAGGAGTACACGTTACAAGGCCGTGCGGGGGGAGCCAGACCCAGATGTCCTCAAAGTCAGCGAGGCATACAAGGACTTCTCAGCAGACATCGCACCACGAAAAAAAAAAACGAATGGCTCACTACTCAACTCAACGACTAACACTCTTTCAGAGGATATGTTGGAAATGCACACATTATATATATTTTTTGCATCTACTTTCTGGATATTGTACATCTGTTCATCTGTTATATAAACTAGCAGTACTTAAATATGCAGAGACTAATTGAAATGTTTAAATATGTATTTTTCCCCCCGATATAACATCAACCTATGTTTTGTAAAAGTTTATTAAATTAATCTGTAAAATGTTATCATATTGTGGATTTATTAAATTATGTATTTTCCTTTGTTATTTATGTGTGCGTTTGTTTTGAGGATATAATTCATTAGTACCTAAACATAGTATGGTATAACTGTGTTTTGTAATGAAATACACAATTGGTTTGGGAGCAAGAAATCTTTTAATCGTTGTTGCCCAGGCTTGCCGAAATGAATGGAAACTTATCTCCCGATTATAACATTGTGTAACTTGCTGCTGTTAAATACCGTCAAACTATGTGCTTTATGTGCAATATATACTTTATATACATATGCCATCTTTAATAACTAATATATATACCGGGCTGCTAAATCCTAAGAACTGCTGCAGGATTTGATTTGTTTTTGATCTGTATTTTTGAAAATTATGTAACTTTTTATCTTTTTTTTAGCATATTGTTTATTATATTATAACTTAGTACTTTTTAACGCATGTAAGATATTCAACACTAAGCTGTCTGTGGCTCTTTCCTGCTTCAACGCTGCACATGTCCCCTCTGTGGGACTAATAAAGGTATTCTGATTCTGATAACGGGACGAATTTGTACAAAGGGGCACACAGCAATGTAGTACCGACTTTCTTACACGCTGGAATGCCAATCGCTTTTCTTTACCCCGAAATCCGCTCATTCTTGCTCTCGGTGTGACATAACAAACTGTCAAGCTGTCAAAACTCTGTACTCCAACCGGAAGTACTCAGCCGCACACCCAGCCGCCGGAAGTTGATAGACGCCATCTTGTGCACAGAGCCTATAGAGTACAACGATGGTACACGACACGCCCACCTGACACGACACTACGGTGGCTGAGAAGGGTCTAGCTGCGGCCGTGAAAATTTGTACTTCCAAATATGGTCAGAAGAGAGCACGCCCAACACGTGAGGTTTACAGACAACAAACAACATGGCGCACCGAGTACAGGTACTTAACGTATTGTGGTTTTAGATATAATTACATACTATTTAGGTTCTCGTTTGTTTGTCGATGTGGCTGATTAGCGCAGTGTAATTGTGTTTATTTTGCTATATATATATATATATATATATATATATATATATATATATCTTAGCTTGACATGCTCGACGTTCAGTTAACTTAGCATATATGCTAACTGAACATGCATGTACTCTAATTTTTACAAGAATCTGATTTTATGTAAGTTTTAAATATTAATTGAAGGTGTCTTTCACATTTGAATGTTTTTTATTTAAAACATGTATTCGCTCCTATACTGTAGACATGTAAATATGTATAATTATTATTTTAAGTGTGGTTTAAAGTTAAATGGTAGTTATTGGGTAGAGCCAAGTAACCGACAGAGCCTCTGTTTTTAGATAGGGTTTATGCTGTAGGCCTGACATTTAAACTAGCTGAAGGGCTTTCTGTTCGAACCACAGTGAAATCTAGAGGTTGTTTTGTGCATTAAAGGGTTACCTTCTGAAAGTGAGGAAGTATGACCAGCTTTGTCCCATAGGATTATACAGGCCAGTCCATTGCTGCTTGTTTAAGGAGTTAACTATTTCCAATATTAAAGTCACTTAAATTGTATTCTATTTTATTCACCTATAGACAAACAACACAACACTCTGTGATGGAGCACGCCCAGAGCTCAACAAATTGGACTCGGACACCTTCCAGTGTCCATTTTGTGAAAGGACCGGGTCACACCCAGCCGTCACGTGTACATTATGTCTTGCATGTGCTAATAAAATTCTCATTACAGTATGCCTGGTATTTTGCCATGGAGGCCAGCTTTGACTTCAGCATTGTAAGTATTAAGGAAAGAGGTCACATTAAAATGCTATAACAAACTTAATGAAAATTGATGCTCTTTCTTTAGCATGACATGTCTCTCCTGAGAAGGTGGTGGTGTGTTATCCTGGTGGAAAACTTTGGACTGGAAGGGTATGCTGCAGTGCTACAAAAACATTTGAATTTGTAATTGTATTATCAAGAAGATTTGGGGGGGAACACCTGGCTCTAAAATGCAACCTTCTGGTGAAGAAAATGTGTCTTAATTGCAGGTATGGAAAGAGGTTTGCTCACTATAGTGAGGAAGGCAGGGCGACCCTTAGCGACAATGTCCCACCTACATTCAGGATCAGTCGTAAAAGGACGCATGCAAGCAGCACCATGGTCAGTGTATCGCTCAACGTATCTCTGACCCTGTGTGCCTGTTTCAGAATGGGTTACTACTCCTAAAACACATACTACATAGAACTTATGGTACATGCAACATTTGTTTTGTGTGGTACTGTGTCATTCTGAATCGAGCCTGGATCATTTTTGGAGGAGTTAAACCGTGCATGTAAAGCACTGTCAAAATAATGGTTGACTGTCTACAGATGCCCCTGGACACTGATGAGGTCCACTCCTATAACAAGAGGCCTTACAGCTTCCTTCCTAAAGAGTCGGTTAGTGAATGGACACATTAAAGTGTACAACCCCTGATGCATGTGATTTTATAATATTACATATGACTTCTTTATACCATCTTGTCTTATCAGTAAGATGGAACTTTGTTCTCATGACCTCGCCAAGAACATGAGTGAGGAAGCGCACCAAAGGCTGAAGGACTTGTGAAAGATTCCGAGGAGTTATATTCAATATTTTTTTAAGTTGACCAGCTCTGATTTTCCATTTGATGTTCTGTTCAATAAATGTTCATTGAGGAAAACGGTATCAGTGTCATATTTTATATACATCACAGTGAATGCTGAACTTGCCTGACCATATACTGCAGTTGAAAGTACACGATGAAACACTGGCTCAATCAATACAATTCCCACATGCTCTACCCCGGAACCTGCGGTCTTCAGACTCTGGCCCCCCGCACCAACCTGCGATCCTTCGGGGACAGAGCCTTCAGTATGGCAGCCCCCACTCTCTGGAACGCTCTCCCCTGCGGAGATCTGCAACATCCCCACGCTTGATGCCTTCTAAAGGGCCCTCAAGTCCCTTCTGTCTGCCAAGGCCTTTGGCCCCAAATCTATTTGTTGTTTTGTCTGACTGCCTTTTGTTATGTTTGTTTCTACTCCTGTTCTTCTTTTTAAAGGGACCTTGGGTCTCATGAAAGGCGCTATATATATCCCATTATTAATACATCATTGGTAAGCATTTTTACAATATTCTGGCTTTCACTGTTCAAATGAGATGTCAACCATCAAAATGGGATAAGGGGTTCCAAGGGGTTCTCAAACGGATAGGTTATTAATTTATTTGCCTAATAGTTGCTTAAAACGGATAGGTTATTAATTTAGTTGCCTAATAGTTGCTTAAAACGCCTAATAGTTGCTTAAAACGGATAGGTTATTAATTTAGTTGCTTAAAATGCTACAATAACATGCCATGTACGGTCTCCACCGTAGGCGGCGTAGTTGTCGTCAATTCGCTTTTCATCTGCCATGCCTCTCAGCCACCATAGTGTCAGGTGGGCGTGTCGTGTACCGCCGTGTACTGGTCTCTCTCTATAAGAGAGGCGAAGTCCCTCCCCTTCCGAAAGCCTCCATGGGACCCCGGAAGCGGAAAATTATACATTGAAGTCAATGGAGAGAGAAAGGTTATCTTTTGATCCCGTTTGAATTGTGCCACGAATGACACATATGATGTTTGTCAATTTAAAAGAACATTTTGCAAGTCAAAAAAATAAAAATGTGTCGTAAAACTGTGAAGTTACACATTTTTTCTTGTGAAACCGCTCAGTGAACTACAGGTCTCTCGTCTCGCACAATACGCGTCACCAACATAAAGATGGCCGTCACGTTAGCACATTTCACCACATTCTTTCAGAATGAGAATAAAAGTATTTTACGAGGTGAAAATCACTACAAGTCTGGGCACGTTGAGAGCTGTACCTATATGAAAGGGGAGTTAGTCGGTTCTGTAAGAGCCAGCATGCGGGACCGGCTTTACAAGGTTTCGGTGAGTAACACGAGTGCAATGTGTAACGTTAATGTCAGCTAGCTAACATTAGCTAACAAGGTACACTAAAGTGTTTTGTTTTAGCAACTAGTTTTCTCCTTAAGAACTTCGTGGTCTCTGTGTATGCTGTGGATAACATTAGTGTTCACAAGAACAAGGTACACTCCCGTGTTTTGTTTTAGTTGCTCTTCAGATTGAAGCGGCCAGTTTTATATCGATTATACTGTATGTGTGATCTCCTTTTTCTCGTTGTGTCATTTGACTTTATTTGCTGTGTGTCGATTCAAGGATTTTGGTTATCTAGTCACAGCTGTGTGTGACTCCCTCTGGTACACCGGTATGTGTTTTCCTAATGTAGAGAGCATTGATTAATTAATAAACTACACACTGAGTCTAGATCCTGACCAAATCCTTTTTTATTGTTGATCAAATGTTTTTCAAAAATGTATTCATACACATTTAGAAAAATACAATGTACAATCACAACCAATACAACACAAATTACAAAAAATACAGAAAAAACAAACAATAAAAACAATCAGACAAGAGGACAAAACTATGGAAAAATAAACCCTCCCACCCCCAGATCCGGACCATCCTTGTATTATTGCTCATTCAATCTATTATAGCATGCTAACAAATGGTACTTACTTTATTTTTACAGATCTGCATGGGAGACGATGGCGCAATGCAGAGCGCTGTCTGTGATTGTGCACGGGGGATGTACAAATGCAGCCACGCTGCAGCATTGGCAATATTTGCCATGTGGCAGATCAGCTCCACAGATGTTGAGTGCCAGTGGAGGAAGCCTGGCACTTCCAAAGTAGTCCAGCCGGTGTCTCAACTTTACCAACAGCGAGAGGAGACATACAACCCACTGGCCAGAGACATCGCCAACTGTCAACTGGGGGTTGTAAACGAGGCCGAAGGGGTGAAGGCTTTTGTGGAGGCCTATCAAGTGACAGTGTTCGAATCGAGTCTGGTCTCTTTGTGAGTGAGTCGGGTGTTTTGGGAGCATCACCCGATGGACTTGTGCAGCCATCTGCCCTGCTGGAGGTGAAGTGTCCACACAGCCAGAGGAACATGACCATCACGGAGGCAGTCCAGTTACCATCCTTCTGTCTCCGTGAGGAGGGTGGGTCATATATTCTCAAGGAGAATCACCCATACTGGCACCAGTCCAAGGGCAGCTGCACATCACAGACCGGAGTCTCTGCTACTTTGTTGTGTGGACCACGAAGGAGGCGATCATCATCCCCATCCCCAAAGACCCTGCATGGCATGGAAATCTCCTCCTCCTGGAACAATTCTACACCCAGCATATGCTCCCTGTGTTGGCCAGTAGAGAGGAGGACATTTCAATAAACATACTCTTAACACCCTCGGACTCTGCGTTGTGTTTCGTATGTGTGATGGGGTGTTATGCAGAGGGGAGGAAAACAGGACACAGCAGATTGGGATTGTGGTGGAGATGCTGAGCAGTTATTTAATTGTTGCATGTAATTATTATTATACTGCGTGCTTCTTAGTTATTCCATCTTTTGCTGTAACATGGATCTGTATGTAACTCTATATTTACTTGTTATCTACCACACTTCCTTCTACATCATACACCATCATTATACATGATGGTGTATATAGGATATATATATTTGTATACATATCTGTAAATTGTATAATTTTATTGAAACGTCTTTTTGATCTCTCAAACTGAGTAAGATTGACAATAAAGTTGACTTTGAAAAATATATATATTCTTTATGAAAATAGTTGACTGTTGTCAAATGAAACGTTGGACTGAACTACAACTACGCCTTTAAATCTCTACGGACTGTTTTTCAGTGGGATGGCAAGTTCCTATCTTTAAACATTTATTAGTTTTTTCTCAGAACAGATTTGATTTTCTGAAGTTAATTTAACTTTGCCGACCATGTAAGGTCATCATTAAAAGGTACAATCAATTTGTTTAGGGTTGACTAAAATAATGAAAAACATTTAATTTGGATAATTTACTGACAGAATAAGAAACTCAATGATGCTCTACTCACCTGTTCCTTTTTTATAAAGTGAAACAGTTGAAACGATAGATTTTAGTAAACTTAAAAACAACCTTCTCCAAAAGCTATCAAGGAATATACCGAATACTTGTTTTAGAACTTTATTACATATTTTTATATAAATAGTTTGAATGATCCATAATTGACAGAAGCTTGTGTTTACACTGACCTGTTACTCATATATTAATGACTTTGTAACTTCAGTAAACCACTACCTCACTAATTTCTTTCATTCATCACGGTTCAGTAAACTAAGTGATACATGAACCAGTTTAATCATTATAATAACGTAGGATTGCAACTCTTTGAAAATGTATGTGGCTCTTAAAAGAGCTGTTGTGTTTGGGTGTGCTGGTCTCAGGTCAGTCTAAGCCCTCTCTCTCCGCGGATGCGGCGGGCCAGCTGGATGTCCTTGGGCATGATGGTGACCCTCTTTGCTTGGTTCATCTTACTGGGGGGCAGCTACATGGATGTCGGTGCAGTCCACAATCATTGTGCAGTTGAAGGCAGAATGAATTTATTATTGACTCCGAATGAAGCACAACTTCATGTCATACAATACAATGACTTTATTTGTAATTGTGTAAAAAAATATGAGCATTGATTAGCAAGCAGGACCTGCAGGAACAGAGAATGGTGATGGATGGAGCTGGGAAGAGAGAAGAATAAAGAAAACAGATCAACTTTATTATCGGATATTAAAAATTCAATTTCAAAACAAGTTGCCGCTCCTACAGTTTTCTAGTATGTAAAGATGATTTCACATGACCTATGCAACATATCACACTCAATACATGTGTGTCTCTGGGGGGTGCATTGTGCCTTTGATGTATATAAATAATATACCATAACCAAATACTATTACGTACAGTGGAAATCAGGTTGCCAGAGCAGGTCAGTGTGCATGTTCCTCAACGTCTCAGCAGTTACAGGTGAGGTAAAGAAAATAAAAGAGAAAAAGGTCAGTAACAACACTTTAAAGTAACAACACTTTGAATAATTATCTCTTCTAACAATTTTCTCTCAATAAGCACACAACGACTGTCTTTCCAACAAACAGATTGTCATCACAATGAAACACGTCCAGAAGAATGTCATGCAAAGCTCCATGCCTGCCTTCGACTCTCCCTGAACTGCTTCCTTAGCATCCGGTGGAGGGCGCAGTAGGCTACTCTTCAAATGTTTCACGAAATACTTACCATCATGTTTGGTTACTGTTTAACATTTTGGTTTACTTCATGTAATAAAATAATAACTTCATGGTAAGGCTACTAAAAATGACAAGGCTAAGTAATGTAATGCTAACTAACGTGCTCGCTACTCGTCACTACTAGCTAGGTAGCTAACTTGACTATGTTCCATGCACAACATGTATATTACCTATGATATTACCTGATATGTCTGATCCAGCGACTCCTGGTCCTTTCATCAGACGGGAATCGATAGAAGGAGCAAGTGGTATGATCACTTTTATGACTACAACCTGGTACAAAGCACACAGGCATCTTGTAAAAGTGCATTTATTTTTAGCGATCTATAATTTATTGGAGGGAATAAATCAGTTATGAGATCTTCTTCTTCTTCGCTTTAATTACGAGTCTTATTATAAATCACCGAGCATGCCTGTGACATCACTTACGCGACCCAGAATGGGATTTGGGATTTGTAGTCTTTGTAGTAGCGTATTTTTCATAGTCTT